TGGTATATAACGCGCAACTGTATTTTCAAGCTACATTTTTTAATTTTTAAGAATTTGCTGTATAAGACACACTCTTATGAAAAAAACCTGAAAGATACATGTGCGATGCTGTTATCTTCTGAAGTCATTAATTGGAGACGTTCCGCAGTCTTTACGAACAATGGTACACAGAATTGAAAATGATATGGGGTTCAATACGTATGTAGGGAAAGTACTTGAGGGACTAAATCTCTAAAAAGGATTTGTTGTATTCAATGCAGCTGCACACAATTTTATTCTAAGGTTTCGAGAATAGGGGAACATAATTTGGGATACGAATGTACTTCCAACCCGAATGAATTCGCAGAATAAAGAATCGGAAGTTCTTTCTTCGTAGTCATCTGAAGCTGTGATTTCGAAGTGAACATCGAAGGTTCTCGTAAATCGCATTTGCTTTACCTAAAATGCAGTTATCTAGTATTCCTGTTAGTAATAAACATGGCTCTTGCCAAATGAAACAAATGTAGTGCTGGTTTCAAATGCAAAGCCATTCAGTTTGCAAAAGAACCAGGAAATCGTGCTGCAGCAAGGATGTTTGATATTGGTAAAAGCTCCATACGTTAATGGAAGCAAAATGATATCACAATAATTAATTAATTATGCCAAATAATGAACATTATTTGCATAATAGGGTAACGAAATGGAATATCCTAACAAAATGTTGCTAACTGGCTCCTAGAAAATCGCCAAAATCACTAGTAACAGCATTTAGGTACATGCAGGAATCAATTTTTTTGTATGCTAATTTTTTCCTTATTTTTAAATCTAACATTTTTATATCCGACGTATAATGCGCACCCATAAATTTCAATCTCATTTTCTGTATTTAAAGTGCACATTATACGTCAGAATATACGGTATCTATTTATTTTAGCCCATTTTCAACTACGGATAAATGAAACCACAACTTGGAAGAATGAACGGATTTTTAACGTATTTTTGTTTTGAATAAAATCACGCATTTTTTTCAAATGTCATTGTTTTATTTCTCAATGTACATAAATACAGCTCAAACATTTCGCATCAAAATAAGACACACATTAAAATACATACATATTTACAGTTTGTAACAATCAACAGATTGAGAGGGGTTTTTTCTTACCTCTAAATAATATTTACAATAAATGGTATATAATTTCACATTTTTAACATTCATAAAACAAAATAGTTACTTTCAAATTAATTTGTACTATATCAAAAAAAAATATACATACAAAATCTTTTGTTTGTCCAGCAAGTGGCTACAAAAGTTTTGCATGTAGAAAGAAACCAAATTCAATTTTTAAAAAAATTCAGAAAAAATAGTTCTTTTAAAAATTACAAGTTCAACTTTAAAAAGAAGTCAACAGAAATTAAAACTAACGAAGGGAAAATTTCTGACAGCAAACAAACATGTGACCTTGGGTTTCCAATAGAAAAGCATAAAAACATCTCAGATACTTTGCTATTGTGCATTTGAAGATAAAAAACAATGATAATACACACAACTGTAAAATACATTTCCATATTTATATGCAATTTATTCTTGGCAGGAATTAGGATTGCCACAGCTAATTATTTCATGGAAACAGATATCTGCTCTATAATAAACTAGCAACAAAAAATGGAGGGAATGTTTATCACGGAAAAAACGTGAAATTTATTTTTGGTACTTGCATATTATCTCATTGACTACGAAAGTTGACAGAGATCCCTCCAAAGCTGTGATTCCTATGGAATTCTGAAGAAACTGACAACACTTTGCTTAATAAACTATCAGTGTTCGATCTTTGTTTTTGCCCTTTGTAAAAATGGTTTTTATCAATTTCTACTATTTTCTTAGGACTTTTGATTTTACCAGAATGTTTAAAAATGCTTTAAATGAATACAAATTTCCTACAGGTACTGTTCCAATTTATTACTGTTTATCAGCCATTTTCAGCTGACCATATCATATTCATTAATATGATTAGCTCACACTCTCCCTATATCTTGTTCAAATTTTCAATAGTTAATAAATAATTTTTATTCATCCACTCAAGCTCAAATACATTTTTTAAACTTGTAGTGGATGACATTTCATGTTAATTAAGTTTTTTTCACATATTAAACTCAACTCAATTCCTACTTATTTTTTCCTGTCTGTTGGAACTAAAGATATGCTTTTTTTTAAAATATATTATAAGACTTTCAAATAATGACAGTTAATTTGAAATTCTCACTTGCTGTAAAAATTAATTTTATACCAACTTATAGTACATGACTGTTACTGATAAATGGGAATGTAATATTTAACAAAAATAAGAGGCAACAGTAAGACAGAGTGCTAAAGATTTTTAAGTGTATAGAATTAAAGAATTGTAGTTTTATAGAGTTGGATGAAGCGGATGTAATGTCTCATTGTGTAGCAAATATTCACCTCATATTTCTGCTATGTTAACATGATAATTTATGTTTAAAATATAATCCTTTAAAATGTACCTTGCTTATTAAAATAAATAAATAGCACTGCAGATTATACAGTAATATATCCAGGACAAAAACTCTTTGCAGCAGGTCAAGCATATCCCTTGATTCGTGTGAAATCATTAGATGGAATATTAATTGAAGAACTGGACTGCTTGAAAGAACTTGCTGGAAAGGTTCCTTTCGATAATGAAGCATTACAAGAGATGTATGGAATGAGAAATTATAGACCACCATCAGCTTCATAAATTAAATGTGAAATAATGTTAATAAAAAGTAACTAAAAGTTTTCTTTGCTGATCTAAGTAGGAATTGACTTATTAAATTATAAAAAAAATTTTTTTTATATTACTTGTTTATAGTAGGATCCCATATAGCTTTGAAAATAATCCACCTCTTACTGTTCTGTACAAGGCATGCACCGAATTTTATTTATTTATCCCCCCTCAAAGTGCAAGAGCAAAATATAGCAATAGCAGATAATTTATATCCTTGGTCATATAAAATAAAAAGTGGCTTATTGAGAATCAGTTGCATTTACATTAAAAGAAAGCTACAGATGTTATCAATGTATTTTTATGTTACAGTTACCCATAAATCGTGCTGCTTGAGAAGAGTTTCATGGTCAGCAGGATAATACGCAAGTGTCATTTTTTTCAAACTCTTCTTTCTTCAAAAGTTCTAAAAATATTGCCTAAAGCTAAACCACATATTTCGAATCATCAAAACCTTTATATCTGAGAAATCTTTTAAAATGATTATAGAGTACATTTTAGAGAAAAGATAATGGAAAGCAAAATCCGCACACAGAAGAAATTGGAAGAAACACAAAATAGTCAGTGCAGAATTTTAATTTTGCCTATTCAGAATTACTAACTGAAAGACTACAAAGTTATACAAATTTATATTATAATAAAGGTTGATCACTTGGGGAAAGCATGGTTAATTTTTTGGATTTTTTAAGTATAGATTTTTATCATTAATAAGAAAATAAAAAGGAGGATGAAATAACTGTGCATGCCATTCTCATTGTGATTATAGTATTTTATGCAATTAACAAACACATGTCACATACAAACAATTTACTTAAGCTATGAAACATACTTTTTCTGCATCAATAAGGCCCCAGACATATCCTGAGTACTCACAATTCAATTTCATCAATCAAATGATGTTTATGTACAATGAAAACTGATGGTATAATCATCAGGTAAGATGCAACATAAAAATCCAATGGTTTTCATGACAGTATTATTTACAATACAGTTAATAGAAAACATATGAAAATTTCCTACAATGCATTCTAACATAACAATTTGGTGAATTTTACATATAAGTTCCTGGATCATAGGTAGCATACATTACTTTAAACCTGATGTCTGTCCCCCCCCACACCCACAGAAAGAAGTCTGGGGTTGTTAGGTCAAAAGAAAGAATATCACAAAATTCCAAATCACAAAATCAAATGGCCAGAGAACATTGAAGAACATTCATGCTTATCTTATTGTGAATCATTTAGCATCATATCGTTGAAGGCAAAAAGTGGCACGAGGCATCAGTCTTAAGAGTTCTGGTCGGAGATTTGTCAAACTGATGTCACTATACTACATTTTCACTGTGTTACTTTAAAGTTACATTAAACACTATGGAAACAATACTTCTAAAGCACTTTTCAGAAAATTAATGTATCTCAATAAACTGCAATACATCCTCCTTCTATTTCTAATGACGGCAAATATTTCTACCTCAGCAATTCACAACATTATCATGAAAACTAATAAACAAATCTTGAGGTCCCACCCTATTATTTATCTTGAAGTCCCGCCCTATCTCAATAAACTGCAATACATCCTCCTCCTATTTCTAACGACTGCAAATATTTCTACCTCAGCAATTCACAACATTATCATGGAAACCAATAAACAAATCTTGAAGTCCCGCCCTATTTTCAAAACATTTGTATAAAAAACATGAACTTGAAATAAAAATATTCCCAACAAACAATAGCTTCTATTTTAAAGTTAAACATATGTCTGCAATTTATATAAACATTAGGATTTCAAAATAAAATACATTAACATACATTGAAAGAATTTATATACTATTCATATTTCATTCACAATTATGAAAAACCTACTGAAGACATAACCTACATTTTTTAACTTTTAATTTGCTCTTTTTAAAAGCTAAACATAACTAAAAACATATTAATATGAACGATAAAAATAAACGTAAAGAAAGGGGAAGAAAATTAAAAATACAAAAGTTATGTATAGCATTGCAAGATATCAATCAAAATTGTTTTAAATTCATCTAAATATAAAACTAACTGTAGTTATGTATACAGTAACCACAGCTGCCAACTTTGAAGATTGAAACTCGGGTAGATTTTTGCATGGAAGGTGGGAAAACAAGGTTTTTCATGCTGCCAGGCAATACCGTTTCCAGAAATTGCCAAACTGACTTAAAATAAATCACTTTTTAACACATGATTCAAGTTGCTGAGCTATTTTTTATTATTATAATTCTGATATAAAATACATCAGAACATAATAACTAATCAGACTTAGGCATACAATACTTAATACATACAATATATCGTAAAATTTTATGTCCTTTTGCTAATTTTCATTCATTTAAAATTAAGTGAAAATTCAACCTTATTTTGGCATATATTTTAAATAAAACTCTATCAGTTTCAAGAGCAATAACACAAGTTCATCTTCTTCAGTAGCAACAGAACCTGTCCTCTGGAAGAAAAGGGACATATATCTGATCACACTGGAAATAAGACAAGAGTTTTATTCAAAATCTATGCCGAACTAAGGTTGCTTTTTTGCCTAATTTGAAATTTTATACTGACATACTTCTTTCCCCATTTAATTTTATTTTGTAATTTTCTTAAATATTTGGACTAATAAAATCTTGAGTAGGAGAGAATAAGTTTTTACTTATCAAAGCACTTATAAACACAATAAAAATAAAATTAATAAACATGCCAAATAATAAAATTAATTAGTTAATAACTGATAGTAAATCTTAAAGCACTATGGCACTTCATGAAAAACCAAAACAATTTCTTTACTTCATATCAGTCAGATTTAGGATCCTTTCTCTTCACTTCAGCATTTATGCTAATTTTATATTTTCAGTAAGATACTTGTTTTAGGGCAAAACAAATCCCAGTATCTGGCATAGTCATATCAGCCATTTCATTGTTTGAGGTGCAAAGAATGAAACTGTTTCAGCAATGGCAAATAGAGAATGTCAAAATAAAGAGGGTAAAAACTAAACACCAGAAGAGTTAGGAACTATGAATGATTTATTTGTAAATAAACTCTAAAGCTGCCTAATTTTGAGAATAAAAAGTTTAAAAAATTAAATAAACATGAAAAGAAATATAATTTAGTAAATTCATTTCAATGAGTTTAACCAATCATGTACAGTTTCAACTAATCTTCAAACTGAAACTGAAACAAAGAAAATCAACTTATCAATTCATTTGTAAATTCCACATGAAAGTTTCATACGGCTTAAACTGCCTGTTTTTAATAAGCTGCCTATCCTATCAATATACACTCAAACCTGTTTGTGCAATCTTTTTTTAGTGATTTTTTATTTGTGCAATTTTGTGTGTGTGTGCAGTATATGAAAGTTTCAATCAAACTGGAACCTAACTGATGAAGTTATCAATAAAAAATTAAATAAATAATTGATAAAAAATTAGCTTCAATCTTGTATAATCTGACTACCAAGACATATACAAGCACCTAATGAAACAACAGTTGTCGGCAAAACTGATCACCTCCACAAGGTACCTGAAAAAAGTCAACTCTAAATGACTCTATTTTTTTATAGCTACTTGTGAAATTTTGTGCGATTTTATTTTTATACAGTCCTTTAACCACTGCACAAAAATAGTATTTTTCATAGCTATTCCTGAGGTTTTGTTAGATTTTATTTTTATGCAGTCCCTATCCACCACACAAAAATAGGTTTGAGTGTGTTCAGTTCACAACAAAGGTCTATTCCTAAACTCAAATTCATCAACAATTTTTCTCAAAAATATACACATCAATTATTCATTTTGAAATACATAGTAAAAACATTAACTGCTAATGTTCTATAGATGATCTTAAAAAAAAAAAAAAAAAAAAAAAAAAGTTGAGTTTTTTTTTTTTTTTTTTTTTTTTTTTTTTTTTTTTTACAGTTTCATGTAATGTCCAAAACAGCACTGCAATGTCAAATATTGTTAAATTTCTGTATTTTTAATAATCTGTGTTGATTTTGCACTTAATTTTATAAATGTTATGCACTTTTAAACTAGCAAAAGCATTTGCACATTTCTGTTTGGTGCCTTTGTTTTATCGAGAACACAAGTTTTTCTTAAATTTCAACACTCGAACATTCAAACATTCTCAGTGCTGCTAGTAGGTAAAAGGAAATGTTTTATCTGAAGAAATCTTTTTCTTGAAAAAAAAAAAAATCTTATTAACTTCAATGCCTAAAATCTGATCTTAACCCCTAAAATCTGGGGGGGGGGGGGGGAAAAATATTTTTTAGAGAAGATCTGGAGAAAACAAGATGATTTTATGTTGCACGCCGACACCATTTCAAAGGAACTTCTAACTGGTTTTAATTCATTTTAATACATGATTCAGGTTATTGAACTATTTATAACACAACTTTGATTTAAAATATATTAGCATTTAATTAGATGTTCTAAATTTCACGTTGTCTGGCTAATTTAATTTTTTTATAAACTTTTATACTGAAAAAATCAAAAGTAGTGAAGGAAGGTTTTCAAAGTTCTTTTAAACAAGATGAAAATAAAATTAATAATTAATGTATATGGTATTTGTGTGGAGAAACTAAGCAATGTAATATATATATATTGAAGTAAAATAAAATTAAATACAGGCATTAACTGATAGAAGATTGCTTGAACTTTCATATAAAAATTTATAAATCTCTTGACAACATATTAAGACAACTCGGGTGAAGTGAAAAAATTCAGATGAAATAAAATTTAATAAGTGTTCTGAAAATAGCTATAAGTGGGGATATGGAATTTTCCTAATTTAATTCAAAAACTTTCATTTATTGCTGGAATACATTTTTCTCAGCCAAGGCTAACAATTAATAACCCAGAAATGTGATCTTCTAGGAAATCTGATGAAAAACCAAGAGAATTAGCAGGTATATATCAGTTATGCAATGTTAAAAAATGATAAATAAATAACTTTCACATGAACATTTTCAAAAAAATTTTTGGAACATATCAAAAATTTAATAAACAAAATTAATTAAACGAATGCGTTACATAAAAAATGCTATATTTATAAAATTCAAGATACTTATGAAAATGAAAAATAAAATGATAATCTTAAACTAGATGTATAGAAAGACAATCGAAATGTAAATGTAATAAATATACATGATCATATTAGAAAATAAAAATCAATAAATTTGACAAAATTTAAATGCACTTTATATAACATTCAAAATTTTAAGTATAATGCCAGACATCTGATACAAAATGTACTAAACATATAGGTGACAAGCATATCTAAAAAACGCCCTCTTTTTTTAAATGCACAGAAAGCTACTTGCTTGAGCCATTTAATTTTTTATGCATGTTTTTACTGGTTATGAAAAGAAATTGGCCTGATGATAAAAGCATGTAAATGAATTAAGTACCACAATATGCAATTAACAAATATAAAACATTTCTTATTAAAAATATTTTTCTTCTCAATACAGTTTTAGTTTTCTTTTATATACACTTGAGGTTGTTTTTTAAAACTCTACTTCCATGTTAATATAAAATTTGCATTTAAAGGCATTCACATCAGAGCAACAATAAATGAACTGATTCATTATATACACAGAATGAAAATTTAAATATATACAAACAACAACAAGTCGTACATATCATGCAACATTCATTTTTCAGATAATTCTTTTTTGAAAACTTTTGATTAAAATACAGAATTTGAATTTTCACTGTCTTACTCTGCTTATGGTAAAAAAAATGCATAACCACTAAACTATCTTGTTATAAACTTGCAGGCACTGGCGATGGGGGAGGAGGATGTGGACAAGGCAAAAGATGCTCATTATTTTCATCAGAAAAACAGAAACCCCTTGATATTGGAGAAGGAGAAATAAAAGGCTTAGAAACAATCGACATTTCAGTTTCAGAGCTGCAGTAATGATTTCCATATGAATTTGCTTCACTTTCATCACAGACATCAGTACTGCACGGTGTAGGTGGTGGAGGTTTATTTCTAGAGCGGTAATGTTTGTAATTACGTTGAGAATAAGAATTGGGAATGTACTGTGAACAGACAGTCACAGGACTTGGAGGAGGGTTAATAAGTTCTAAAGGATATGTTCGGCTGGAAGAACTTGATGAAGCACCTGTCACGTGATTACGATCGTATACACTGCTTCCACTAGGTAACATCAATGAACTTTGCCCAGCACCATTTATGGCACAGCTAGTGCTCTCACAAAATGATGTACCTCTTTGTTGACTGCCACTCATGGAACTGAAGGTAATATTATAATCTTTAGAAGGGAGCATTTCATGTCTAATATCCTCATCTTTGGCTGGTTTTTTTCCACAAGGAAAAATATTATATTTTACTAAACACACTATTACTAAAACTATAAAAGCAAATATAAGACAAATAACAAGGACCAAAGTAGCCACGGATCCAGATTCAGCATGCCTCTGACTTGTAAACCTCATACAGTGATGATTACTCTCATCTGAAGCATCGCCACAGTCTTTCTTTGAATCACAAAGCAGAGTGTTACTTATACATTCATAAGTAGTTAAACATAGGAACTGATCTTTTTGGCAACACTGCTCGTCACTGAAATCTTTGCAATGAGGAATACCATCACATTTCAACTTGCTGTCTATGCAATCACCATTTTGGCACCTAAACTGGTGAGGTTTGCAATCATCACAATTCATTTCATCTGACATATCATCACATTCAGTAATACCATCACATCTCCAATTATCTGGAAAGCAAGTTACTCCAGAAAAGCATCGAAACTTCCCAGGAGGACATACTGGAATATCAATGCAAGAGCTTCTATCACTGGACAGGACCAATTCAAGAGGACATGAACAACGCTTTTTATTGTTTTCTGTTGTAAGACATAAATGGGAACAACCTCCATTTTTATTAAAACATGGATGATTACTGTAACGGTCGGGATCAACATAATTTACAGCCAAAAGATTAGTTAACAGAGGCATACGAGCTTGAATACGCTGGCGGTCGCCTCCAGTTTCTTTATTGGCCATTTCAATAATTTGTTGTTCATGATCTATCCAATATATATGCTTCTCAAGCACAGTCAATGATAGAGGATGAAGATTATCACCTGACAACAGCACTTTCCTAAAAACAATATAAGAATACAATTCAATAATCAAGAAATGCAATGAGATAATTATGAAGTTTTAACTGATATATACAAATTACAGCACTTGAAAGCAAGATAAAACTACTAAGATTCTTCTACTGCCCAGATCAATGAAATATAACAGTAATATGACAACTATAGCAAAAACAATTTTAACACATCTAATCTTCCACCCAAACATCTGTACTTTAAAGGTTGTATTTTGAATTTCAAATTTATTTTTCGATTTTCTTCATGTTTTGTGAGAATTTACGGAATTTTTATTAACAAACTATGATTTAATGTGTTTTTTAAGAAATGTGTTGGAACCACTCAAAAAGACTTAACTTTCAAATTTAATCAAAAGATTCAGCTATTTAAAAGTAATAAAAAATAATGTTGCGTGCATATGGGTTCGTAATAGATTGAATGCATACGTCCAATAATAAGTTAATAAAATTTATTTTTATCAAAAGAAATATATCTGAAATCTGGAATTTTTCCTCAGACATATTCGTATAAGTGTTCACAATATAATGCAATAATAATCAGTAGATATACTTCAAACAACTACTAAAAACATTAAATGGAACACAATGCAGAAGCATTTCAAGAGGAAGCTAATCCGATTTATCTCAGTTCATGCGGAACTACAGTTTGCAATAACAATTACTAATCAACTGACTCTCCAGCCTTTAATAGATTTCAAATGGTCGCGAGATATTTCTAGCAGTTTCTGCTTCTCAAGATTTCTGGAATCCAAAAAGAGTGTGGAATTAGTCACAGGAAACACAGTGGTCAAGTACATTTATTGAATTTCAATACAAATTACCGAGATATTCATTTATTCAATGTTAAGCACCTGCTCCAGTACTTTTACTTTACAGCATAGCTTTCTCTTAAAATTTGTCTCGTACTACATTGCACAGGGAAATACAATTTTATTTACAATTGTATTAAAATTAGTTATCTAAGTACAAAATTTGTCATAATACTTTTAACTTTTATGCACTAAGGTGTTGAACTTTGACAAAGTTAACTTTCAAATTTAATCTGCCTCTTTCTAATTAACAAACTAAGCAATTTAAAAGAATATAAGTAATTCTTAATATTTTTTCACTTTTTAATCTGATTGATTTCAATAGAAAATGCATTTAATTCATAATATATTTATTTTCAGTTTCTTGTTTTAAATAAAACTCCATACAAGATTTTTTTCTAAAAATATATAGTAATTTTTTAAAGACAAATCATTCGAGGTACTACACTATAATTTGATGCAATTGTCTTGCCTATCTGAGACTTCATGTTAATAATTCATAGGAAAATTATTCACTATTTGTTATGTTTAGCGCAGGGCTTCTTAAACTTTTTTCAATTGTGACTCCATTTTATCACAGATTGTTTCGTGATCCCAGATATTAAATAGAAAATAAAGATATAAAAATAAATATCCTCCCATAAATATTTTTTTTGGTAAACAAAATACATATAAAAAGAAGTATTTTAGAGTTTATGTTATGCAAACACAGATGGAATTTTATTCCTCCCAAGTTCCCTCATTTCGGAGGGCTATGGGAAGCCAGTGTAAAGCATCACTTAAAGAGAATGATAGAATGGGCCGTAAAGCATCACTTAAAGAGAACTATCGAAAATTTGCGTTTTACATACGATGTGTTTGAAACTATAATCATACAGCTGGAGGGAATACCAAATTAAAGACCTCTTACATTAATTTTGAATGATTCTTTCTAATTGTTATAAAGTTTTGACCCTAGATAATTTTTTAATACTGAGATCAATACATGCAATTTCGGAGCCGATAATATTAGTTGTAAATGAAAATCGGTTGCTGATAGAAAACAACAAAGGTTGTTCAGATTATTTGGAAGAAATGGTCAAATGACTATTTAGGCATTCTGCAGCAGAGAACCAAGTGGATGATAGAGAAGGACAAGATTTCTGTTGGTACTCCAGTACTCGTCAAGGATGACTTCTGCCATGCAAATGGACTTTAAGTCGACTTACTAAAGTCTGACAACAAAGTAAGAACTGTTAAAATCAATACAAAATCAGGAAAATTAAAATAACAATCATAAAAGATTGTGTGGTTTCTACGGAAAACTGATATTTTTGCATATGTAAAAGGAAAATTATTAGTTTGTTCCAGTATTGTAATAGCAGTAATTACAATAATAGAAGTACGTTTTTTATAAGTATATTAATTTTGCTTTAAAAATGTTTTGTATAATTTCTTGAAATTTTGTAATTTCAATCCGGAGGAGTGTTAAATTCGTCTGACGTGAGATGACACTGCCATCGCTACTGTTTACAAAAAAAATTATTTTTTATATTTCAAAGGCGAAGCAGAGTGTGTGTGGTTGCCTGAGTGAAAATGCTACAAATGAGTAAAACAAAGTTGATGAAATACAATAGCAATTCCACAAATGAGTGAAACAAAAGTGATAAAATACAATAGCTTAGTTTGTAAATTAGTTTAATAAGCGTTAGAGTCCATTTAGTAATTCATCTGACCACCCGACACTCCTAACAAGTATGTTAATCTGGTTTCAGCAGTCCATCAGTATCATGTGGGACCACCTTTCATCGCAATTACATCCGCAACCCTTTGAGGAAGACTTTCCACCAACTTGCGATAGGTTTTGACGGGAATCTTGCTCCATTCATCTTGCGAATTGGCGAACAACTCCCTAGTGTTTTTGGGCACATGGCATGGTTCTCAAATGGCACTCCAACTTGTCCCTAAGATGCTCAATAAGGTTAATATCAGACTGTCAGTCACGTTTTTGAACATCCATATTGTTGAACCACATGTTTATAACACCTGCAGTATGACATGTTTTGCTGAAACAGATATGGACCAATATCGATCGAATTGTGCCCACAATGTTGGTACACTTTTCCCGTTCTTGGTCCTCTTGTTTATGACTATGCATCCTTCGATCACCAATAGATGGTAGTAGTGTTTGTTTGTGAAAAGAAACTGTAATGCCATAATTATGTATATGTATCAGTTCGTCTTTGGTGTTTGTCAATAAAAGTTGTGTGGAATAACGCTCTCTGTTTATTACTTTACATTCAATCCAGTCTGATTATTAGAGACTTACATATATTTTGTTTAACAATAAAACACACACTCTTCCACGGAACTCAAATTCTTCCTGTTGCTGATGCGTTAGTTGAAAATGTTGGTCCCACCCACTGTCATTATACCTGAAATGCCATGACACTTGCTGCAGTTATTGAGCATCTTTCGAATAAATCTGTTTGCAGGCTTGCAGCTGAATCTGGAATCAGGCCATTCAGCACTTGCAGAATCCTGCAGAAGATATTACACGTTTCGTACAAGATTCAATGCTGGCGCGCTATACCAATTGAGGCTGAACAACAAAGAGAGGATTTTGCTAACAGGATGCTTGACATGGTTGATGTTTCTGGACGCCTATTCTATGATCACTGGATCTGTCTACAACTTGAGCGAACAATATTGACTCAAAAGAACCGGTATGGACAGCCATGCCAACTTATCGGAGAAAGCCATTCTGTGGTCCTCAGTTGGAGGGCGGGTGGGTCCATTTGGAAGGGGACAAGGCTTCAAGGAGCTTTAGACCAATCGCAGTACAGACGAGTGACGAAATTTATAGCGCGCGCTGGCTGAAGTTCTAGGAATATTCTTCCATTATTTCACTAACTCACACGCTGCATTTGTAGTTCGAAAAAAAAAAATTGCATAAAACAGCATTATGACCAACAAGCAGTAGAATATGCTGCTGTGTTATGTGAAAGAAAATCTCGTTTTTTAATGGGAAAGTTAACGCAGGAATTTAGAGCTAAGAAATAAAGAGTGATATGGGATACCACGAAAGCAATGGTAAATAGATAAGAGTAAATGAATTAAGCTTACTTCAAATCCTTTTAGAAATAAAAATTTATAATATGATTAATTTACATTACAATCTAACAGCAAAAAGTCCAAAGGGATTTGAATCCCGAAGGACTATTAGTTTCGTTTTGGCATTTTGCGTCGGACGGATAAATGTCGGTTCACTTTTCAAACTGTTGCCATAAAATGTTAGAGTCCTGCATTATATTTGAAGAAATTAAATAATGAAAATCTGCGTAAATGTATGTATATTTCTCACATTGTCATAAAATAACGGTACATAGAGTCATCAAATTTTGAATAACGTAATCCTCCAACGAATATGAGCATGTGGAAGACCAAATTTGAAATTTGAAATTTGTTTTATGATCGATTTCCTATTTTTTAAAACTTTGACGAATTTTAATTAACAAACTTAAGGATTTCAAAGCGAGCAATGGCAACGTTGTGCAGAAAAAAACATTTTTATCTCCAGCGTGTGAGTCTCTGTATCGGAAATTCTAAAGATATGCTCGTTTTAAAAACTATTTTGCAATATTGCTGTTGCACTGGATCTTATGGTTTAAGTGCGAGGAACATGATATTTAATAAAGAAAGGTAACACACAAAATGTTAAAAAACGCCCCTTTAGACGTAATTTAAAATCTGAAACATTTCAGTTTTTTTTTTTTTTTTTTTTTTTTTTTTTTTTTTTTTTTTTTTAATGTTTATGTTTACATTAAAACTGTTTTCCCGCAATTTATTTTACAGTTACTATTTGAAAAATATTTCTTTAAATAAGAAATTAGAAAAAAAATATTTCTTTCTTAATATTTCTTCCCCTTTTTTATTTTCTTTTTCTATGAAAATTATTTCTTTCAGGAAAAGAAATAAAATTCATTCGCTATTACAGTATGGCCGACTGCTCCTGCATTCAATTATCACACACGCATCAAAATGCTTTATTTTAAATGATTTATGAAATATTCTATAATTAACAGGAAAGAAAATTATTTTTTCAATATAAAATACATAACCAAAATTAAACTAATCTATCCTGTATGTGTGATTAATTCGTTTTGCAATTTTTGTCACACAATTACTAATACCTTT